GGGGAGACGTGGGTGCCACAGCCAGGTGAGAAGTCTGGGAATAATTTTTGGATAGCGGCTGAAAGGTCACGTGATCAGTGCCATATGCAGCGCCCAGGGTGGATATACCGGACACAGACCGCGTCATCTGAGCCACCTTGTTATTACGGCATCTCTTGTGCCTGGAATAAGGGAAACATCAGCTGGTACCTGGCAAGTATAAGGTAAAAAATAAGGTAATTATCAGCTCGTACCTGATAAGTATGAGGAAATGATAGGGAAACATCAACTCGTACCTGATGAGTATGAGGTAAAAATAAGGGAAACCAGCTGGTACCTGATGAGTATTAGGTAAATAATATGGTAAACATCAGCTTGTACCTGATGAGTATGAGGTAAATGATAAGGGAAACATCAGCTGGTACCTGATGAGTATTAGGTAAATAATAAGGGAAACATCAGCTGGTACCTGATGAGTATGAGGTAAATAATAAGGGAAACATCAGCTGGTACCTGATGAGTATGAGGTCAATAATAAGGTTAAGATCAGCTGGTACCTGATAAGTATGAGGTAAAAATCAGCTGGTACCTGACAATTATAAGGGAAATTATAACAATTATGCCGTAAATAATAAGGTAAACATCAGATGGTACCTGGAATGTATAAGGTAAATAAAAGTTTATGCAATGTATAATCTGTCTTTACTATTACTCGAATTCCTTATAGTCTTAACAAGGTTAATATAGGAAATGGAGTTAAGGAGACAAGCATTAAATTACTTTAAAATATGAACACAGAATACACGCAATTACTAAGATATATAGTCAGGTAGTTTAAACGCTTTGTGTAAATTTATGATAATCCCTTTTAGAGATAATGAAAGAAAACATATTTAATAGGTAATAAGTAATCCAAAATAGCTGCACAGGGAATTCAAACGCCTTATTCTTAGAGGCAATAAGGTATACAAATTGGGTAACAGGTAATCTAAAAGACGATAGTAGATGATCCAATAGGTAATGGGTAATAGGTAATCCAAATGGGTAATAGGTAATTAGGTATCCAACATAGGGTATTGGTAATTCAAAGGAGAGTTGTAAGTAATCCAAGTGGGTAATAGGTATTCCGAAATAGGTAATAAGGTATCCAAAATAGTTAATCCAAAATAGGTAACAGGAAATGTCATCGAAACCGGTAATAAGTAATTAACAAGAAGGTAATTAGTAGTCCAAAATATGTAATAAGTAGTAGGTAACAAAATATATCCCCAATGCCGGGCAAAATAGGCAAAAGACAGGTATTAATAAAAATTATAATAAAAAGTGCAATAGATAATACGCAAAAGACAATAGGAATTCCATCACAGGATAAAAGGTAAGTCAATACTTATCGAAAAATTAGGTCTACCTTTTGTGAAAGAATAAGAACGATACTAAATATAACTCCAAGTCAATAACATTTCAAACTTATGAGAGAAATTATTTGCATATTCGTCGAGAAATGCAGCGGGGCTCAGAACACACCTCCGAGGCATACGATTATGAACTTTATGAACTTCGTAATGGAGAAATGTGAACATGAATAGACACACATCAATTTCCCGACGACGTAAGGAAACGCCGTCGTGCAGAATCAGATATTAATTAGTTTTTTCTTCTTCTTTTTCACTCGAATGATAAATGTTATCGATGCTTTCTGAAACGAGGGCTTGTGCATGTCTGTGTGTGATTCCTGTGACTGGGTTGGATGACGTCATGTGTTTTCTCGGTCTGTCTGTGTCTGGTTCTCTCTCTCTCTCTCATCTTCCGTCTGCCTGTCTCTTTTTTCTCTCACTCTCTGCCTCTCTCCTTTCCTTTCTCTCTCTCTCTCTCTCGTTTTCCGTCTGTCTGTCTCTTTTCATTCTCATTCTCTCTCTCCCTCTCCTTCCTCTATGTCTCTCTCTCCCTCTCTCTATCTCGTTTTCCATCTGTCTTTTTTTCACTCTCTCTCTCTCTCTCTCTCTTCCTCCCTCTGCTTGTTTCTCTGTTATCTATTTGTGTGCCTCTCCCTTCCCCTCTATCTGTTTGTCTGCCTGCTTGTCTCTCTCTCTCTCTGTCTTTATTCCCTGATTTCTCTAATTTCTATTTTTCTTCTCATTCTCTAACGTTTACCTCTGCTCATTTATTTCCCCGTTTAACACAAAACACACTCAAACAAACACACGCACACACACACACACACACTCTAACACACACACACATTAATATCCTAGTAAATGTTTGTTAATCATATCATTTATCATATGCATTGTGCTTTATATTTAGTCTCTCCTATTTCACATCATTTTGCATTAGCTACAAAAGAAATATATAATGACTAAGCAGCTTTGTAACATTCTACCCCTTTTTTTACTTCGTCTATAAAGCGATTATTAAATGCGTACATATACAGTTTGCATATAAAGATAGAAGCACGAGCAATTAACAGCACTGTTTGTTAGGGTAGTGGCACCTGTGCAAATATGAAATAAGGCGTAAAAAAAAAAATAGAAGAAGCACGAGCAATTAACAGCACTATTTCTTAGGGTAATGGCACCTGTGCAAATATGAAATAAGGCGTAAAAAAAATTGAAAATAAAAATAAAAAGTAAAAATAAAAAGTCACTAGCATCCTAGCAATGCTATACGAACAATACTAAAGAATAACAAAAGAGAAATAAGACACAATAGAGCAGTTTATATTCAAAGAGAGATAATCACGATAGAAAAAAAAATATTCAAAGAGAGATTATCACGATAGAAAAAAAAATATTCAAAGAGAGATTATCACGATAGAACAGAAAAAAAAAATAAAGAAAAGAAAAAAAAAACCAAACTCACTTCTCAATCATTTCCGCAATGGTTCGGATCCAGAAGGACACGATCAGGAACCCGAGTAGGACTCCGATGACGATGGGCCACCACGGGGTGTCCTGGGGCCCGCAGTCACATACCAGCTGCTCGGGGACGTACTCGCAGGGCCTGGTGGAGGAGGAGGTGAGGAGGAGGTGGAGGAGGGAGGAGAGGAAGTGGAGGAGGAAGGAGGAGGTGGAGGAGGAGTGGAGGACGGGAGGAAGTGGAGGAGGAAGGTGGAGGAGAGGAGGAGGAGGAGGAGGTGAGGAGGTGGTGGGGAGAGAGTTGGAGGAGGAAGTGGAGGAAGAGGTGGAAGAGAGGAGGAGGTGGGAAGAGAAGGTGAGAGTGGAGATTTGGGAAGAGGAGGTGGAAGGGAGGTGGAGGAGGAGGTGGATTAGGTGAGACGTGGGAAGAGGAGGTGAGGAGGAGGTTGAGGAGGTGGAGGAGGAGGTGGAGAGGAAGGTGGAGGAGGAAGGTGGAGGAGGAGGAGGAGGAGGTGGAGGAAGGAGGAGGAGGAGGAGGAGGAGGAGGAGGAGGAGGTGGAGGAGGAGGGAGGGGGGAGGAGGTGGGGAGAAGTGGAGAGGTGGGAAGAGAAGGTGGAGGAGGTGGGAAGAGAAGGTGGAGGAGGTGAGAAGAGGAGGTGGAGAGGAGGTGGAGGAGGAGGATTAGGTGAGACGTGGGAAGAGGAGGTGGAGGAGGAGGTGGAGGAGGAAGGTGGAGGAGGAGGTGGGAGGAAGGAAGTGGAGGAGGAAGGTGGAGGAGAAGGTGGAGGAGGAGGTGGTGGAGAGAAGGTGGAGGAGGAAGGTGGAGGAGGTGGAGGAGGAGGTGGAGGAGGAAGGTGGAGAGGAAGTGGAGGAGGAAGGTGGAGGAAGGTAGAGGAGGAAGGTAGAGAGGAGGTGGAGGGAGGTGGAGGTAGGGAGGAAGAAGAGGTGGGAAAAGGAGGTGAAGAGGTGGTGGTGGAGGAGGAAGAGGAGGAGGAGGAGGAAGAGGAGGTGAGGAGGAATGGGGAGGTGGAGAGGTGGAGGAGGAAGGTGGAGGAGGGAGTGGAGGAGGAAGGTGGGGAGGAGGTGGAGGAGAAGGAGGCAAAATGGAAGGTGAATGGGGAAGATGGGGAGTGGAGGAAGAGAGAAGGAGGTGAAGAGGAAGGTGGAGAGGTGGAGGAGGAAGGGTGGAGAGGAAGAAAGCGTGGGGTAAGGGAAAGATAGGAGGAGAGTGGAAAAGGAAGTGGAGAAAGTTGGGATTTGGGAAGAGGAGGTTGAGGAGGTGGAAAAGAAGTGGAGGAATAGTAATGTAGTGGGGGAAGAAGATGTGGATAGAGAGAAATGGAGAGAGAAAAGTGGAGGAGAGGAGAAGTGAGGAGTGGAAGAGGTGGGAGGTAAGGGAGGAGAAAAGGTGCGATGGAGGGAAGACGTGGGGGAGGAGGTAGAAGAGGGGTGAGAAAGATGCGGTGGGGTGGAGGTAGGAAGGTGAAAAGAGTGCAAGGTGCAGGTAAAAGGAGGAGGACAAGAAGGAGGAAAGAGGAGGAGGAGAAATGGAGGAAGTGGGAAGGGAGGGAAGGAGGGTGAGGGTGCGAGGGAGAGAATAAGTATAAGGAGGCGGAAGGGGAAGAAAAGGAGAAGGTAGAGGCAGATACATAAAATCACCAATTAATAGTTGTAGTAATAGCAAGATACCAGTAATAAGGATAATGACAATTCCAACAACAAAAACAAAAGCAATTGATAAACAACTAAACAATTATAGCGATAATTATGATTGTTGTTATAAAGATAATAGCTGATTGAATGCAAATTACGAAGACAGCAAGCAACAACAACAGCAAAACAAACATAGAAAAAGGCGCAAAGAAATAAAGAAATAAAATAGAATAAAAAGGAACAAACTTAAAGTAAAAAACGATGTTAATAGAGAAAATCCAAAAAAAAAAAAAAAAAACAGAAAAACTAAACACAAGGAGAAAAAATCTTATTTGGTAAATAACAAATAAAGAATGAAAGAAAGAAAAAAAGGAAAGAAAGAAAGTGAAAAAAAAGAAAGAAAAAAAGAAAAAAAAATAATCCAGCAAAACCAAAACCAAAAAGAAAAGAAAGAAATATCACGTAAAAAAAAAAAAACAAAAAAAAAAAAACACATAGAAAAAAAAATCAAAATGAGAAAAACAGAAGGAAAAAAAAAAAGCTTTTAACCCAGCAACTCACGACGGACAAGCGCAGACGCCATCGAGGCAGTCCAAGCCCTCGACACACTGGCTCTTCTCCTCACACGCCTCCAGAGGAAGCTTGTCACTCCCTTCAACAGCAGGTGAAGATTCCCCTTCGCTCGTTACCTCCTCGCACCCTGCCGATAGCACCTTCCACGTAGGTGTAGCCCCTGGTGGGTGGGGTGTTAAGGGAGAACTGTAAGGGTACTGGGGGAGGGGGCGGTAGTAGGGTGTTGTTGGAGAAAGGTATAGTAATGTAATAGTGGGGGTATTAATAGTTGTTATTTAAAAGTATTAAGTAGTAGTACTAGTTTAGTTAGTAGTCAAAAGACCGTAATTAGTATTAGATTAAAGTAGTATTATATAAAGTAGTATAATAGTATCTATAATAACTATATACTGTATACGAATATATTCCACTTTATTTATCAGATATAAACACACCACTTACTCTCATACATCTTCCCACTCTATCTTTGATATATAACAACTCTATCACCTCTTCTATATCCCAGTCTTATTACTATAATATCTATCATACTTCCACACAGTTTTACTAAATCTTTCTATATGTTCGTTCTTTACATAAAGTTTCTTCAGTACATTTTCTTCAACAATTTAAATACCATTTAGCAATATTCAGTATCTTATACAATATATATATATAATAAATATATATATATATATATTATATATATATATATCATAAATCCTAACATCTCCGTTTTTTCTACATATTTGAACAGTCTATCAACGACAATGTCAGTATATCTGTCGGTACATCATCCTATTTCCTATACACACAATATAGTTTCATATATATTCCCATATCACTATTTACATCTCTTTTTTTTTTTTTTTTTTTTTTTTACTTTTTTTTCCGTATCCCAGCACTCTATAAACATCACATTCAGTCTATATATCTATCTGTACATCCAACTATAAATTCATATCCTTCTATCTCTATATAATTCCTTATATCTTTTTTCTAGGTCTCTCAACATTATATCAACATCACAGTCTATCTGTCTATATATGCAACTATATAGCTGCCACATTCTATATTCCCAAATAATCGTTACACCTTTTCTTCAAAATTTCCTCAGAATCTCAACACTCTTATCAACTTCACAATGTCTATCTATCTATACATCCAACTACACATATCTATACATCTATCTATCTATGCTCTTTATATACATTTATCTCCATATACCTCACATATTTTCTTAATTTTTCCTTAGCATCTCAACATCTATCGCCTTCACAGTCGGTCTGTCTATAATTTAACAATATATCTATCATTACATCCAACTATATATCTATTCTCCATCTATGCATATATATATATATATATATATATATATATATATATATATATATATATATATATATATATTATATATATATATATATCCATATAACTCCTTACACATTTTTTTTTATTTTTTCATCACTATCCCAACACTCTTTCACCTTATCTATACACCCAACTAAACATCTATCTCATATACATACATCGCAGTCTCATATATATTTCCATATAATTCCTTACACCTTTTTCCTCCATTTTTTCTCACCATCCCAACACTCTTTCACCTTATCTATACACCCAACTAAACATCTATCTCATATACATACATCGCAGTCTCATATATATTTCCATATAATTCCTTACACCTTTTTCCTCCATTTTTTCTCACCATCTCAACACTCTTTCACCTTATCTATACACCCAACTAAACATCTATCTCCTATACATACATCACAGCCTCATATATATTTCCATATACTTCCCTACACCTTTTTTTCTTCATTTCTCCCTCACCATCTCAACACTCCATCACCTTATCTATACACCCATCTAAACACCTATCTCTTTCTATACATACATCAGTCTCATATAAATTTCCATATAATTCTCTACATCTTTTTTTTTTCCTTATTTCCACATACTTCCTTGCACCTTTTTTTCTTCATTTCTCCCTCACCATCTGAACACTCCATCAACGGCACTTACTGTATGCAAGAACAGGTGCAGTTGACACACTCGGAGGAGACGAAAGTGCATATGCCGTTGAGAAAATTGCCGCAGCAGTAACCACCCAGTCGGCTCCCTGACCAGAGGCGGTTGGGCAGTTCTGTAAGAGTAGTTAGGGTAGTATTGGTGGTGGGGGGTGGGGGTAGTAAGGGTGGGGGGTGGTAAGAGTGGGGTGGTGGTAAGGGTGGGGTGGTGGGGATGGTGTGGTGTGTGGGGGGGTAAGGGTGGGGGGTGGTGGTGGTGGTTGGTAGTTGGGGTGAAAGGTGTAGGTGGGGTTGTAGTGGGGTGGGGGTGAAAGGGTAGTGGCTTGGGTGGTTAGTGGTGGGGGTGGGGTGAAAGGTGGTAGGTGGTGAGAGGTGGTAGGTGGGGATGGTTGGTGGTGGTGAGGGTGAAAGGTGGTAGGTGGTGG